CTTATTTTATGTTGATGCTATTGAGCTGTAATCTATCAATATTATTGCTTCGATGTTATTTAAACAAAAATTAATGTTGTTCATATCACTAATTCATTCATTTACTATCATGTATATATAACTATAGAGCCTAATGAAGAGCAGATTATCGAAAAGAGTATTCTTTGATCAGTATCCATTTTTTTGAAAATTTCTTAATCAGTCAGTTCAATGAAGTTTTTAAATCCTTCTACATAAGTGATAATAGTCCAACAATTGATCTATGATGGCAGTTAACGGATCATCATCATCATCATCGTCATCAGCGAAGCAGATAATTTGTTTTTCTTTATACAGGAATATAAAATAGGGCACAAATATTTTGTTATGTTGACGAGACTTGCCTAAACTTATTTTGTTTATTGCTTTCATCATTCTTTTGATTATGTCTACGAAATCGCCAAGTTAATCACATAAACATCAAGTCATTCTACTAATGAGCTTGATATGAACGTGTGCGTCGCAGGAAACACTTACAAAAAACAATTACCCAAAGTTTTTCACAAATGAAAATATACTTCTGAACTATTCTTTATCATATATATATATATATTGATTACAGCTTGATTCCACAATGTATTTTTGATACAAGTATGGAATTTTCAGCATGGATATCGGTAGCCCGAAATTCGCAGGCCAACCATAGATATCAGGTGTGCGTCGGCAGGGGATCAAACCTTGAACCATGTGTATGGTCGGCGAGAGTCCTAAGCACTGTGCCTCCGACGCCCTATATATATATATATATATAACTGTATATAATAAGTTTTCTGGAGTATCAGTGGTACAGCGGTAGAGTGTTCGCCGACCACGCAAGTGGTTCTGGGTTCGATCCCCGGCTGACGTACTCCTTTACCTCGCCAAGCCAATAATAAGACTGGTTGAAAGAGAGAAGTCTGAGCATGAGTCTAACAACCTTATCCCGTAAAAATAATAAATACCACTGCTACGGAAACTTCAAGCTTCTAGCTTTAAGCACTATCTTCCAGTGGGAACGTAAAGAAATAAAAAAAAGGTTTTCTATAGTCGCTGCCACCGTAGAATTGCTTGCATCTAGTAACATGTGGGTTTCGACACAGTAGAGGTTGTCTTTCAATAGGTGTTGTGCGGCATCGATTTCGACAACTTGGATATGCACTACGAATGTCATTACAGAGGAACCCATACCACTTGTCGTTTTCTAGCCCTGGGCTGGAGTGGAAAAAGCGTCAGCCCACGATGTGGTACAGTGGGATGAAGAATAAGTGTGTCAGTTCAGTAACTGCTGGTGCATCATGACTCCCTGAGTGGCATCTTCCTTTCTTTCCTGTCTGAAAGTAACATTAGATAATGGAGCATCTTTTGAATATTCTTGACAAGAATGCTTACTTGCTTCCTAGATGATATTCTTCATGTATTCTATGCGTAATTCCTGTTTATTTTGCTGTTTTATTATTTTTGGGTGATGCATCTCTTTGTGCCCACATTAAAGTGTGGCATTCCGGTTTATTTGAACGGATGCTTCAATTATTACCACGACTATTAAATTGAAGTGAATTTTTTGGTGTGGTGGCTAGCAGTAAAATTCATGAAGCGCAAGAAGGTGCACGCAGATAACAAGTCCTAAATAAGACAAAACCCATGTCTCAGATCCCACTGCTAACCATCACATCATGCAAGCAACTTAGGAAGCTTGCAATCGAATTAAATAAATATACACTTGATACAATATTACAGCATATGACCCAATATATGAACTTATTCACCATCAAACATCCTGCCTCTCATTAAAATGATTATGCACGTTTATATGAGGTGGTATCGAAAATATTAATGAAATGGTGACTATAAACTATAGGAGCCCAAAACGAAACTTTCTAATAAAGACCTTGACAAATCTCTGTCAACCAATTAGATGTTTCCGAAAAGGAAGTGTGTAATTTGAAAATCCGTTCATATTAAAGTAATGGCGTATTAAAAAGTAGTTATATAAGGTAACGTCCTTGTATATGTTCGAAGAACACCCTCCCCCTCCAAAATCTTCATAAAAGTCCTCATAGTTAAGTTAAACCAATTCCTGTGCGAAAATTCATCGAGATAACTGTAAATCGTCGTGTTTCTTGACTTATTCACCGCTCTGTTCCTTTTTTTAGGTGATTCCAGAAACTTTCGATGGAATTTATGTGAGTCCTATTGAAAGGATTAACGAAATCGTCCGCATAACTAATTGCCTTGTGAATACAACCCAGAATGACAGTTGGCCACACATCTTCTCCCTTTCAAGGAGCCTATTGTCTAAACAATACTTAAATGGTTTATTTTTTTATGCAATTTGAGGAAAAAGCTAAAGTATTACAGCCGAAGTCAAAGTCTTTCAAAAGTTGACCCTCAAGAACCAACGAGATACATTGAATGCCTGTCTTTTTGGACTTGGGGAAGGTAGATACAGTATTGCACTTATTCTCACGGTGTTTTTTTTTCTGTAAATCTATACTGTTTCGTAGGATCATGGCCTCTTTATGTTAAGGTTTAGGGTATAGGGTTAGGAGTTAGGATTGTGATCAGAGTTAGGAACAGGTTAAAGAACAGTGCCATAAATACCAACAGATCTCAAAATACCATGACCTAAAGTCACCTGCATGAATGCATCGATCGCGAATGGCACGATTTCTTCATAGATCATCTGTGTCGTGACTGGGAGACACTCTTACAACACGTAAGCTATAATAGTCCAGCTTCGTCGAATTCGCTACATACTTCGTGTACAGCATCCCTAATTCTCTCTGTCTACTACGGACTTAACTCACTGGTTGCTCAAGATCAATAATTTTTTCTTTACATCGTTTCGTTTTGAGTCACCAAAGAAATATAAAAAATATTTCCAATGAATTTGTTGTAGAAAATATCAAATACGTTATATACTACTTAGAGTAGTAAGATTCTTTTTCCTAAAAAAATAGAATCCAGAGAAATACACCTTTTCGATAACTTCTTGATCTGGCTACTTTCATTGACATCATCCTTGGTTTATAGTAAGATCAAGTTGTTAAGAGTACCGAAATTATAGTTTAAAAACATATGTAAGTGATAATATGTATAAAAACCTAATACTAAGTTGAATTAGGACAAAAAATTATGTAACAATTAAAAATAGTTAAAACAGTGATAGCAAAGGTTAGAGAAAGCGTCTGAATAAACTTTTTCTTAGCACATAAGTTTGGCTTCTTCTGGGGGATTCTGACGAACTCATAAGGCAAAATTGAGATCACCATGTTGTAGATAATGAACATAAAATCGATGGGGGCGTCATTTACTGAAGTCTGACTAACCCCAAATTTCACCTTAGGAGTTCGTTTCTTATATATAAGCTGAAGTCTTCAAGACCCACCTGAAGAAGCCAAACTTGTGTGTTTACAAAAAACTCTTAAAGCCATTCCACCTCCTCTGCTTTCGCCATCATTATTTCAACTATCTATAATTTTAGCAGAAATTTTCTTCTTAATTTTATTTGATATTCAATTTAATATTACATTTGTACTTATTTAATTAAATTTTAGATTTTCCCGTCGATTGATTGGACCGAAGTGCGCGGTCTCAGGTTGATATGTCGGCTTCTTTTGCAGACGCTTCGATGATGTCTAGGCATGTAATTCGAATTTAATTGGTGGATGGTGACTAACAGTGGAATCCAGGATGCACATTTCGTCCTATTTAGGAATCGTCATCCACCAGTTAACTTCTAATTACATGCCCAGACGTCATCGAAGCATCTGCACAAGAAGCCGACATGTCAACCTGAGACCAAGCACTTCGATCCAATCAATCGACAGGAAAATCTCAAATTCAATTAAAATAATGAATATGACCCATTGCACAAGAGGTGGCTCTCCTGGCCCAAATGGTCTAGTGGATAACGTTTTGGCGTTTGAAACTGTGGGCACTGGGTTCGAGCCTCGGTGAGAATATCATCACTCAATGACTGGGGAATGCAGGTACATCCAGATGACGAGTCCCAAATAGGAAGAAATGAGCATCTGGCTGGATTCCACTGACTTTCACCACCCACCAATTAACTTCTACTTACATTTGTATGCTTGTTATCATGTACACATGCTTTGAAACGTAATTCTATTGATCTTAACAACTCATTATTATTTTAAACCACAAGTGATGTCAAAAACAATTACTCTTTAAGCATTATATATATATATATATATATATTTAACTGTAGCGCCAGATGAAGTTATTGAGAAGTATCGTGGCGTATGCTACTGGTAAGATTTATCAGTAGTATATATATATATATTTTTCGATTACAGCTTGATTCCACAATGTATTTTTGATACAAGTATGGAATTTTCAGCATGGATATCGGTACCCCAAATTTTCAGGCCGACCATAGATATTAGGTGTGAGTCGGCAGGGGATCGAGCCTTGGACCATGTGTATGGTCGGCGAGAGTCCTAACCACTGTGCCACCGACCCACACATATGTAAAGATATGTTCACCGTATAAAAACATCAAACAGCAGAAAGGTAAATTTGATGTCCATGAGGGCAAATGAAACAGAGTTACAGGGATACATGGGAGACGTGAAAGGAAATCACATAGAAACACAATATGAAGGTCAGAAGTGGCAAAACACGGAAGATATGTGCAAATGATGATTTGAAGATAAGGTGTTCACTGAGTTGGCGAACACAACTACATCGAAATCATTCACCTGAGCTACAAAGCTTCTCCATCATATCTAAAGTGTAGATAATTTGGCTAGATAGAGATACCAAAATCACCAACAAACATTCCTCTACCAAGTTTTCGTCTTCCACCATTTCAGTACGTTCTTTAATCGGTATCTTTATTGTTTTATAAATGTCTAGATGGGAATTTTCACTCTATACGGGGGAACAATTATAACACACAAAATTGAACATCATGATTTTGTATCATAGAAATAGAATAACTGAATGCTTCAGCTTACCAGTTCCTGTAGCAGTGACACGATTTATCAATCCAAATTGCAGAGCTTCATTTGCATTTAACTCACGTCCTGTTAATGCCATATCTAGAGCACGTGACAGACCAATCAATGCGGGCAGGCGTATTGTTCCCATATTCATCATAGGTATACCTGATTATAAAATGACAGAAATATTTATCATTCTATGAATAGTACAAAATTATTTTCCAGCAGCAGTTTTTTGTTCCATTTATGAGTGAAAATATAATTACGTATATTTACATATAATTTGAAATTACATTCTAAATAAATACGATTGTTCATAAGGTATAAACGAATCAGATCCTTCATTTGGTAGATGGTAACTAACAGTTGAATCTAAGATGTGCATTTTCTCCTACTTGGCACTTGTCAACTGGTTGTGCCTGCAATCCCTAGTGAATAGTAGGAATGTTTCCACTTAGACTGGAACATTGCACCGATCGTTTCAAACGTCAAAGCACCACCGCTTAGATCCATAGGACCTCAACAAGAGCCTTTTGCATAAGCAGTATCAATTATTATTTCCTAGGTTTATTTTGTATCTATTGTTGAGTGATTGATTATATTGGACTGAATGTCCTCTCTTTGACAGGAGTTGGTTTACTTGAACCTAGGGCTTTCGTGTATGAAGTGATGAAGGTAAGGTTCATATCTCAGTGCAGATTGACAATACAGCTACATTCAACTGAGGAGTTTCAAATCGGATGAAATATACATTTTGGATACGGCTGCTAACCACAGTCAACCACACAACAAAATGTCAGTCTTCAAACTTCGCCAAAGTATTAATACTAAAAGGCCACAAGTTATTTTATTTATTTATTTAAACGCAGAAAACTTGGTACAATATGTCACCAACAAGATGCACCACACAATAATAATAAAACAGCATAGCTTAAAGGAAGGCACAGATAGGCTAGGAATTCAGACAAAGTCGAAAGGCTGTCAATGGTGAAGACGTCAAGGTTGGCGAAGGTTAAATACAAAAGTTTGAGACATCATTATTGCTTGCAAGCATTGTACGAGCGCGCGATAAGCTTCACTGATAGTTTGTTGCTTCATTTCATTTATTGTGTGAGGGCTGAGATACTGCCCCGGCGACCAGACCGAAGTAGGTGGTTTTCTTAAGGGACTAACCCCCCCCCCCGAGCCTTTGACTTGGAGTCTAATCCGTAAGGCAGCGGAGCAGCGTCAGGAGCTGCATTCCCATAGTTGCCGGTGCCCCATATGGGTTCATACGCCATTTGATCCAATTGGATTCTGGAGCCAATGTACCCCATGGTAACTGCTTTTAGTCTAACTGCTATCCAAACAACCTTCCTGATAAGGTAGGACCTGCAGGAATACGAGTCTCAGCCAGTTTAGCTTGTTGGTCACTGCAGTATTTAAGCCCGACCACTACGGCAAGGTAGCAGTTGTCGGCCGGGTTAACTAACCCTACTCATCTCTCATCTCAACTCTCTATTACTTATACAATCAGTTTAGCCTCATTTTACTATTAATCAGTTGATTTACAGCATCTTTTCAAGCTCCATATTCAATGATAAGTAATACGAAGAACAAAAAACATTTTGCTGTTGACTTTTAACTTTAATGTATAAATTCAAACTGATGACTTCTGTTGACTGTGACGACTATTTCTTGAACTCCTGTTGTAACAACAGAAGACAAGGGTAAGACAAGAGATAGTTTATTTAGGAAATCAACACATATTTATAGATTTTCATGTACATTATTATAGATTATTGTAAGCAAACAAACACAGTCTTCTGATTGGTGGTTTCTCGCTGGACGTTAATCTTTCATCTCTTTGTGGCTGTTTCTTGAATGTCAGGTAATCTATCTGCTTATTGTATCCGCCTACGCAAAGTTTTCTGTGATTGGTTGTTGAGTTAGTCTTTGTTCTTGTTATTTTCTCATGACCAATATTTGGGACGTTAACATTGACGTGAATTACTGTCTACCAATTTTGGCTAGCAGCCAGGTCTCACCACACTGTCACTACATAAGCGTTGTGACATTCAACAAAACAAACAGTACACAAAGAGATCCTTAACAAAAACATAATTTTGCCTAGGTATGATGATGTTATTCATAAATGTGAAAACAGTCTGGCTATCACACAGTTTTTTTTCTTGTTACAATCCGCCAGACTAACCGATTGACTAACTGAATAATCAATAAATCAATGTAGAAAGTGTGAATGACCCCAGACAGTTTGTTTATGAACAGGGCAGAGGTGCTGCTGCTGTCTTATATCATAACATTGTATTCTCCTTAGACAAAGCGGCGAAATATGTCCTTATATACCCTCCTTGACTGCATATCTTCTTTCGACTCAGTACTAGATGCCTTAAAAAAGTAAACTGTATTACAGGGTATACGTAGAGAGGATTGATTGATTGGTTGATAGTGGCAGTCGTTTTTAGTATCAACCGTGACAATAAAGTTAGAAATGTACAAAAGGTGTAAAATAATGATAATGATGTCAATAGCTAAAATAATAATTAATTAATTAAAACAGTGACATCATAAATTATAAATAGGAGTGGATAAAAGAGCCAATGATTTTGTTGATAACATAGTAAGCAGTAGGTTTAGCTAGAGAACCATTGAAAACCAGCATTGGAGTACTAGACACCTGTTTCATCAGCCTATTTTGGGAATCATCGGCAGTACGCACCCATCATTTGAGTACTAGGGCAGAAAAGACATTACTTGACTGGATCCCGGTAGATAGCCGAATGTGTGCTGTCCGTCTGAACGGATCAGTAAAAAAGAGAAGGACTGAACTACTCCCCGAAACCTTTTGGCAATCTCCGCCTACGCCCCCACTGACTGCAGTTCGGATGAAACGAAGGATGAGTTCAACCAAAAGCTGTCTAGTTTGCTGCGAAAGGCTAAACGCCCAGATATAGTCGTTCTAGCTGGTGACTTTAATGCTCAAGTAGGGAAATTGTGTCAATCTGAGAAGGATGTCAGTGGCACCTATGGAGTCCCGTGCCAGCGAACCGACAACAGAGACCGCCTCCTACAGTTCTGTTCAGATAATCATTTGTTTCTTGTAAGCACTAACTTCAAACACAAGGAGAGACATTGTTTGACTGGAGACCCCCATCATCAAACCAACGCTGACACAAATAGACCACATAGCAATGAGCTATCGTTGGTGTGGGTAGGTAGGAGATTGTCGCTCCTTCTGGAACACGTGTGTAGATACCGATCATGCAATGGTCCGCGCTCGGGTGGGCTTACGACTGAACGGACGTAGGAAACAGCTGGCGGCAAACCCATCACGTCCCCAGCTCGATCAGGAAACTAAATCCCTATTTCAGGAAGAACTAGCTAAACACATATCTGAATTCGACAGCTGTGCTCACCCTGAGAAGCCTGGAAGAATATTCAGTCAGCTATAGATACAACTGTAAAAGCTGTGAATAAAGCAAATCCAAAGGTGAGTAAAAACCACTGGATCTCTACCGCCTCATCCGAACTGTTAGATGCTACAAGACTTATTCCGGCGAACTCCGAATTCAATGAAGAGCGAAAGCTGCACAAAAGGAAACTTACGAAAAGTCTCCGCAAAGACCGTGAACAGTGGTGGGTGACAAGACGAAACAAATGGAAAAAGCATCGGCGATAGGCAACACTAGGCAACTCTTTAGACTCATCAGGGAAACGGGTGGGAGAAGGCAAATCATAAGTGAGACAATCTCGGAGAAAAACTGCATCATAATTAGCTCCCAGGATAGACGACTGGAACGCTGGAAAGAGCACTATGAGAAGCAGTTTAATTGGCCCACAGCCACGCTCATTGCTGAAAAAATGCAGAGTCTTCTAAACACCTTGAGCTGCAATCTACGAATGTTTGGCATGCGATTCGCTCCCGACAAATGCAAAATGATGTTACAGGACTGGACTACAGCGACTCCTAGTTTAAAATTAGGAAGTGAAGTGGTAGAGCACATTAACCGCTTCACTTATTTGGGAAGTACCATCAGCCCCAACGGGTTGATCTCTGACGAAATCTCAGCACGGATACAGGGGGCTCGTTTCGCATATGCCAGTTTACGCCGTCTCTCACGTAGACGAGATATTCGACTATCGACCAAAGGGTGGGTGTACTGCTCATCAGTCCGCTCCGTCCTCCTTTATGGGCTGTGAGACCTGGCCACTGAGAGTGGAAGACATGAAAAGACTAGCTGTCTTTGATCATAGGTGCCTGCGTTCTATTTCCCGGGTGAAGTGGCATAATAAGGTGAGCAATACTGAGGTTAGGTGTCGAGTGCTAGGTAAGGAGGGGAAATCTATCGACGACGCTGTGAAATTACATCGACTAAGATGGTTAGGACATGTGTTACGTATGCTTAGTCATCGCCTTCCTCGACGGGAAATGTTAGGTGGCTGACATAGGGTAAGGCTGGAAAACAGATAGCGGTGGTCAACACCAAAACATGGAACCAGTCAATGAAATTCACAACAGTTAGTTTAAGTCAGTCACATAGGAAGGTGTAGACTGGCTTCCTGGTTGGGGTCCTCGGGACGGTAAAAACTAATGGTTGAAAACGATTAGTGATATGGCTCAAAATCGTTCTCAATGGCTATCGCAGATGCATCCACTCCTCGTGACTTATGATTTCCAATGAAACTATATCCTTCTTCGTTATTACTATTCCTTTGTATCACACTTCTGTTTACTGTGTCTATTATGCACTTCTTCTTCTTTCTTCTCTTGCTTTGTGCTACAAGGAGGGAGTGTGGCGGCTTGAAATGCTGCACATATGTGCAAAGTTCTATGTCGAAAAAGACAGAGACAGACGCACCCACCACAGTGGGGCTTCGAACTCAGGAGCTTCTGGCTGCAAGGCAAGCTGAATCGTATACCATTCAGCCACTGGGACTCAATCCAATGGCCAGCTCATGAATTCTAACTTCTACCGTGATCAAGTCGTAAAAACAAAACTAATCCTTACAAACTAAACTATAGAAAATTAATCTGATGCTCGCTAGTAACTTGCTACAGGATGCAGTTTCCTGGAGTTCTAGTGAGAAGTCGTGACCAGTGAGGTCCATCCAGATATCACGGGTGAGGATGGATGTCCCACCGCTAAATCAAGAATTGGTAGAAGTTAGAATTCATGGGTTGGTCATTGAATAGGATCCCAGTGGCTCAATGGTATACGAGCCAGCTTGCCTTGTAACTGGAATGTCCTAGGTTCGAACCTCACTGTGATGGGTGCGTACTGCCAATGATTTCCAAAATAGGCTATAGAAAAGTAGGATTAACGCTTAACACTATCTCTGTCACAGAACGCGGGTGGGCTAAATAGGGCACCGTTGGATTTTTGTACTCGGTTGTACGAGCATATAATCTTTTATGATGACTTATAGCCCTACCTGATGAGACGCATCAAAGGGAGACGTGAGAATAGAGAGGGTGTTTAGAGTCAGACAATATGGATTTAGTCCATTTCTCACATGAGTTCAGGTGTCTGTTGACCACAATAGTACCGAGTTGATTCAATGACACACTGAATGCCCTACTGACAACCTTTATTACTCTTCACAATATATGATAAAGTGTTTTCTGAGTAACCCATGAAAGACTAAAGCGGGAAAAAATATAGGAAGAGTAGGTGAGATACCAAAGTTAACAAATTATTGACATAGAGGCTGAGTGATTCCTAATTGTCTTAACTTGTTGAGTGTAGTAAGTTATAGGGATGACCGGCCAAGAAAGTTCAGAGGATGGAACTATTTTTATGCTTCACTTAGTTTTGGTTTCAATACCCTCAATGTCACAAGCAGTCTTGTAGAACACATCAGCTGAAGAACCTAAGAACTAAAGGCTTACAATCCTACCTGATTATTATTAGATTTAAGCATAGGGATTGGTTTTTCAATAGAGAGAGATAATACAGTTCTGAAAATGCTAAAAATATAATAAAGTGAATTAACTGTAATATGAGGATTGTAGGTAATATCAAATGAGGAGAAAGTTATTAAGAAACTTACAATGTTTTCTTTTATGTAAGCTAAGAACAGAATCAACTTCTGCTACACGTAGATCACAGGCTAATGCTAATTCTAAACCTCCACCGACAGCATTGCCATTGATTGCTGCAACAAGAGGTTTACTCGTTAAGGTGATTTTATTAGGATCCTATAAAAATGTCACCAAAAAAAAAAGAAAAATTAACAAAAATAAGTTTGATGTGCGTAAACATATAAATACGAAAATAATAAACACAAGAATTTAGGTGACGTTACTGTTGACCGTAAATAAACCTCATAATAATGGTGATAATAATAGTAAAACAACATATATACAAATTATCAGTATGTCATATCGTGATTCAGTCACATGTTTTGAAAAAAAAAAATACATCTTTCGATCAATTTCAAACTATTCACTATCTGTTGTCGTATAATACGATATTCAGCGTTGGCCAGTAGAATAATTTTTGGTTACTGGATTTCATCATGAGCTAATAGATAGGTTGGGAAACCATTGGAAAACCTGGGAATACTGGACAGCTGTTTCGTCCTAGTTTGGGACTCTTCATCAGTACACACCTACAGATGAGATCCTAAAACCAATTAAATCCCTGCAAACCAACACTTGAACTTCAAGGATTGATGGTACGTTTTGATTTTACCATTCATGACGTTTTTCCAAACTAATCCTATATGGGATAACATTGCCCGTTAAGGAAGGCGGTGGCTCGACATGCTCACCAGAGTCAATCGAGGTAGCTTCACAATGTCACCACCTGATTCACCCTCTTTACCTAAGACTCTACGCTTAACCTTACTATTGCTTACCATTTAACATGGGAAACAGAACTCAAACATCTATGATCAGAGACATTTAAAATCTAAAATAGATCGATAAGCTATATTATCCTAGTTTGAGTGATAGATGTACAAATGAAAAGAGCCCCACAGTAACGCAGAACACTTTGTCAGTACTATGGATTCTCTAATCATTGTCTTTCCATGAAGAAGTTTATCTGACAATTGGATAAATGTACACATGAGTTAGTTACTGCAATCATAATCGAGTAGGATCACAATTCCTTTCTTTTTATTCTCTTCCGTTCCATCGTTTTTTACGGGGTGAGGTTGCGGTGACAGCTGTCTGCTAGCCAAAATTGGTAGACAGCAATTTACGTCAATGTTAACGTCCCAGATCTTGATCATGAGAATCGAACAAGACCAGAGACTAACTCAACAACCAATCACAGCAGATTTTGCGTGGGCGTGTACGATTCGCAAATATATGTATGGTCTGACCTTCAAGGTAACGGCCACAAAGAGATGACAGAATAACTTCCAGTGAGAAAACAACCAATCAGAAGACGCTGTTTCTCTGCTAAATAATAACGCTAATAATAATGTACATAAAAATATATAAATATCTGTTGATTTTCTCAATAAACGACCTGTTACCTGGCCCTTGTCTTCTGTCGTTACAGGATTGCTAGCTTCACGTCCAACCTTCCTTCTTCTCTAGGCTTACCACAGGCTAGTCAGCAAACTGACGTTTATGAATGCGCCAGTGTCACAAATACTAAGTGCTTATTAATAAAACTCAACGATATACTCTCTCATACGTGACCTCTAAGTTAAGTGACTTTGTTTATAAATTGGCATTGAAGAAGTTCTCTTGTAAGACAATGAAACTTTCTCAGTTAAACTATCCACGATCAAAGAACCTACAACTACATTCCAAACAACAACACTTAAAAGCATAAAACATAAGAATATCACTTACTGTAGATGAACAAGAATACATTTGATTTATCTTCGAGTTATCATAATTCGGATTTTGTTTAATATACTCCAATAATTCTTCAATATCCAAACCCAAACAAAAATCTTTACCTTCACCGTATAATACACCACCGATTATATCATTATCTTTTTCAAACTGATTATGAATAACATTGTTCAATGCAGCTACAGTCTCCCGATTTATACAATTCCCTTTATCTGGTCGATTTAAACCAATCAGTAACAGACGTCCAATTTTTTGTGTTAAAACGCAAAGACTTGAATTTAACGAAGGCTGTATGTGGAGGTAAAACACAAATAGAAGCAGAGATAAAGAGACATAGTGTATAATCGTTTAATAAATAATATTATAAATTTTCGCAACAAATTGTTGGTGACCAGCACAATGAAAACTCGACCGAGAGATTAGACGCACAACGCATAGTAACTAATCAATGTATCCACAACACTCTACAAGGAGGTAAATCGTGAACACATATATATCTCAGTAGTGACGTCTGACTTCAATAATAGTTTGTGCCTCATAGGGGTATCAATTCCGTCAATGATCCACAAACACCTTATTGATAAGTATCGAAAAATACAAAACCACCGATGTCAAGGGGTTCCAGTCAATTGCCTCCAACTATGTAACAAGAATTCAGAGTGCATCGAGATGGCTGGCTACCTATCTTGGTCACCACACTGTAACCTTGACTGATACAATTCACTGTTATTGCATCCCCCCCCCCCGAATGGATGATTTAACTATGAACCTTTCATTGTCTTCCTAGACAACATTTCCAGTGCAATCCTCAATACGAAGTGGTGTACTGAGAGCACAGGCACACCAATATCATCCATCTGAGGCACACATCTTCATCGTCATTATTAAGATTTTATTTAAATAATTTTTAGCAGTAAATGTCAGACAGTGTGAAACCCATGCAATACGACAATACGGACAAAAAACTAAAAATGATGCAATGTTGAGTTGCAATTAAAGTTTCTAAGCCACACTACTTGGTCAGCCTTTTTTTATATATATACATTTCCTAGAATTTTCCTTTCTAATAGCTAGAAAACATGCCCAGTAATACTACGTGATTACTTAGTCTCAATGTGTAGAGTAATTTCAAAAAAAAAATGACAAAACGCATGAAAACTGAATGGGTAGACCAATGAATCACATTTCCACATCAGTCTATACCATTACACATAAACGAAAACACTGTTTAAAAGTTTTTGTACGGGGTGGATTGATTCGTCACGAATCAACCTGAGTCAGAGATCTTTGAAAACCAGGGAGCACTGGACAGCTGGTTGACAAAGTTAGAATTTACGGGTTATTGATCTCTAGCGCGAGTAGCTAAATGGTCAGGCAAATTGTTCTCGTAACCTGAAGGTTCCCAGTTCAATCCATGATAGGGTCATGGGTGTACACTGATGAGGAGTGCCAAACTAGGACGAAGAAACTGACCAGTGCTCTCTGGTTTTCAATAATCTCTAATCCATGTTGGTTAGTGGCGGGATCGACATTGAAAAACACTATTACCAATTTTAACAGTGGGACAGTGGCACAGCGGTAAGGACGCTTCGCCGACCATGTACATGGTCTGGGGTTCGACCCCGGCCACTAACGCACTCCCATACCTCGCTAAGCCAGAAATAAAGCTGGTAAAGAGGAAAGGTTGGCCATGAAGTTAGCAACCCCATCCTGTGAAAATAAACGCTGCTACCGAAACTTCAACCCTTTAATTTGAAGCCCCATGTTCCACTGGGAACGTGAAGGAATAAAAAAACTACCAATTTTAACAAGGATGTATAAAACTCCTTGGACTATTCAGCGAAAAATTGGAACAAATATCTCATTCACACAAAAATACAAGTGGAGAAGCGGCTTGTCATCGACATTCAGCAGGTGGTGAGACTCGAGTTTGAATCCATCCTCCACATTACTTCAACTTGGCCAGCTGGATAATATCACCAGCCCTCAACACTATAAGTCTGTCTAATAGCCTCTTACATGAGATTCCTCATCCAAATAAGCTGCTACCTTGACGTGGTGGTCGGGATTGAACACCGCAATGACCTAATCAAGCTATACTGGCTGAGACTTATGTCTCTTGAGGTCCTAATATGCCAGAAAGGTTGTTTGGATAGTGGTTAAACAAAAAGCAGCTACCCCATCCAACACTATGATGCATAAAAACTCACAAAATATCATGCCGGATCGGCCGAGGCCTGGATTAACAACGACCGCGCTTCCTGCTGCCGTGTCACAGGACAGGAGTGATAAATATGCTACTGAGGCACACCAAACAAAAAGAACGAACAAAAACAGGCCGTATGTGACCGGCCTCAAACAGTTGTCCCCTGGACTCTGCGGTCACGCAACCAACTTCCACGGTGTGGGCAGCCGGGAAGTAACAATCGCCCTCACAATCCGAAATGCACACGAAACCTCTCCAATCCAATCCGATCCAAATAACTGGATCCAAACATGCTGTACAAACAGAAAGTGGCATAAGCACTGATATAAATTATTACAGGGAACAAAATAAAGAACTACTGATATTTATCCACAAAGAAAATAAGTGAAAAGTGTTCAGGATATTGAATTTGATTCATATAGATGACCATTTTGAAATTAGTGGCTATTTCACCATAATACTATTCTAATCTGATTATAAATCAGATGATCTTTAAACATGCAGAGAATCATGTGATGTTATATTGATTGAAAAACAAATATTGATAAGTGTTCATCATAATCAATCACCTGAAGAGACAAACGTTTAACATCTTTTCATGTAATTCATAATGAAATTTATGTAAACACTACAGAACTCCTACAGGACATCAAATGTATTACATACTTTCACAAAGATTCACGATTCTACTACATGACAAAGCTTTATAGGTATTCGCAAGGGTAAGTTTGTATTCTGTCTTCAAGAATCTCAAACACTCATACGTCCACCGCTAAGCACACGAATAGGCAACACAATAGGCGCTTTTATCCTTACCGGTAACCTTTGACTCGATGTTGTGTTACACTATTTGAGTCGAAGACTAAGTAAAGCGTTGACACTTTGGTGTTTGCAATAAATAGTTAGATGGAGTGAAACATCAGCTTCAAATCTACTCGACTATGGAGATGTCAAGCACATAGATTTAGTTACCAAACTAAACATAACTACCACTGACTCATAAAGTTACTGCATTTTGGTTGACAGTGACTACCAGTTGGGATTTAGGATGCAAACTTTTGTCCTATTTTTGAACTCGTCACTGAGTTTATCTGGTGATAACACTTAGACATCAGTGGACAATGCAAATGTATGTGAATCCAGATGATAAGTCCTAAATAGGACGAAGTGTGCACCTTAAATCCCACTGCTAGTCATCATTAACCACAGACATCCAGAAGCGTCCCTGCTACGAGCCGACATGTCAACAGAGGTCAAACATTTCGACTCAATCAGTCAACGGGAAAATCAACATTTTCAAGTATTGGATTTTGTAGGGAATTTGTTTGATTGGTTGGAGGTTGGGTCGCAGTAGCTTAATTGGTCTACCAGCTCGCTAGCCTTGTAACCAGGAGGTCCTGGGTTCGAACTCCACAGTGTGGTTGCGTACTGACGAAGAGTCCCAAACTAGGACGAAACAGCTGTCTGTACTCCGTGCAGGTTTTCCAATGATTCTCTAACTGATGTCACCTCATGATGAAATCCTCCAAACAAAAAATCAAAATTCACTTAAACAAATAATTACTGAAAAGTTAGTAAAGAAGAATTGACACTGTATGCATAACAACCAGTCAAGTGTTGTGCACGCCCTTATTGTTAGCTGACATAGGGTCAAGCTGGAAAACAGATAGCGACGGTCAACACCAAAACATGGAACCAGTCAATGAAGTTCACAACAGTTAGTTTAAGTCAGTCACGTAGGAAGGTGTAGACTGGCTTCCTGGTTGGGGTCCTCGGGACGGTAAAAACTAATGGTTGAAAACGATTAGTGATATGGCTCAAAATCGTTCTCAATGGCTACCGCAGATGCATCCATTCCTGATGACTCATGATTTCCAATGAAACTATATCCTTCTTCGTTATTACTACTACTTTGTCTCACACTTCTGTTGATTGTGTCTATTATGCTCTTCTTGTACTTTCTTCTCTTGCTTTGTATGCTACACGGAGTGGAGTGTGGCGATTTGAACTGGTGCACATATGTGCAAAGTTCTACGTCGAAGACAGACAGACAGACGCTCTTATTGAGGGGAACACCTAAAGAAACCAAAGATTAAAAAGCATATCAGATCTTTGATGAGATGATTTACTTGGTGTATATTTAAAACTCGAAAAAATTTATGCTCTTGTTACACAATGAATCTGATAGGAAAACATTTTTTATCATCATCATTATTCAATGAATCCTTTGAGTTCGGAATGGAACATGAGACCTAAAGTTTGAGGTATGCTTAAATTCTCAATAGTAGTGTTTTTCACAGGGTGGGGTTGCCAGCTTCACTTGCTAGTAAGCCAGGCGATATTTGCGAGTGCGTCAGCTGGGAATCGAACGTCGCAGCGCGTGCGTGTACTACTGACATCGCTGAATCTTTCAGTAACCTATTAGTTAAAAAAATAATTAGTAATACGGAAAGAAGATTTGTAGTTCAGGTGGATGTCTCAAGTATTACTGCAATTTCTGAGCAGATTGATTTAACTGTGAATGTTTCACTGTCTTCCTAGACATCTCCAGTAGTAATTTTAGTGTAAAGTGAACTTTGAGAAGTCTTCTGCGATGATACTTCTACTTTCCAAACACAAGGAGAATCCAAGTCACACAAGAGTGTGAGAGCAAAAATATATATGAATGTCCGAACGAGTGTGTGAGCGAATATCCAAAATGAACAAATCAATAGACAGTCTTAACATGATTGGCTAATTATAATGGAATATCGATCCATATATACCTAGCAAATATAACAGGCATGTCAAACAAACACACATATTATATATAATATAAGGGGAATATACATTGTTAAAGGAGACAGGTTCATCAAAGTGAAATGGTCACAGACTAAGAGAGCAACAGAAAGCGAGACCACCATATATATATATATATATATATATATATATATATATATATATATATATATATATATATATATATATGGATACGTATCATCTTCATAGCCGAATAACTTGTCTGTCATAGTGAGTGACCTTCAATGTGATTGACTGTTCCCGTAGATTTTCTTATGAATGTATTTACACTTGTATTGTTATTGATCCTCTCGTTGACTTGATATTGGATCTTTAAATCGTACAACACCTACTTTTAATTGCTTGATAAAGTTAACATGTATCTACAAGTCTACTAATTACAAAATGGTTTGAGTAACAGGTTTCTCTTTCCTCTGTCTACGATTTTTACATTGTCCCAACTCAAGTGATGTCCATAGTTGTCCACATGTAGAAAATGCCTACCGTGCCTTTTAACTGCTAGTCTGTGATTATTGCATACAGGTGTTACTCAACCATACGAAAATCTACGGGGAACAACCAATTACATTGTACGTAATCATTGAAAGAGAAATGTTTTATCCATAGAGGAATCCCAAAGTTAATTTTACTTCGAAGCTACTGAAGATATCATCTAGAAGGATAACGAAACCTTCACGACTAGTGATACTTTCCAAAATTCAAGTTGTTCTGTCTAATGAGCATTTTATGAGGGTCGAGGTGACAACAAGAATTCAGAGACTAGATGATACGGTGGAGAAACAACTGGTGGTTGGTGGGACATCCATCCTCACTGATCACGACTTCTCACTAGAACTCCATCCTGTAGCAAGTCACTAGCGAGCATCAGATTAATTTTCTATAGTTTGGTTTGTAAGGGTTAGTTATGTTTTTACGAGTTGATCACGGATTGATAACTAACCCTTACAAACCAAACTACAGAAAATAATCACTTTATTTCAAACAATAAATTACAAACAGAATGGAATTTTCACTTATGACACCTTAGTCTGGACAGTTGATTCGGTCTATTCGTGATAAGCATAGGACATTCCATTATTGAATTGAATTCTTGATTTTCCCGTCGATTGATTGGACCGAAGTGCTCGGTCTCGTGGCCCAAGTGGTCTAGTGGATAACGCTTTGGCGTTTGAAACTATGGGCACTGGGTTCGAGCCTCGGTGGGAACATCATCACTCACTGAGAAATGCAGGTACATCCAGCTGACGAGTCCCAATTAGGACGAAATGCGCATCCTGGATTCCACTGCTAGCCACCATCCACCAATTGTATATAGGACATCCCATTTGACTAGAATATAATATTTCTAAGAGTCGACATTTCATTGTCTCAGGAAGATAAAGTTAAGGATTATGAAATGGTTTGAAATTTTTCACAACAGAAAAGATGTATTTACGTCTTATTATTATTGAGATTTTCGAAAATACTCCTGTACGTATGCAACATACACTTTACCTTCATGATATCTCTTTTTCCTTGTATGCTTTTCCAAAATGAGCGAAGTTCTTCGTTGAGTTTCAACATGGAACTTTGTACAGAAGGGCAGCAGTTCAAGTTGCAACACTTCAAGTAGCACACAAAAGTAGAGAGAAAAAGAGAGAAATCCAAAAGAACTATAATGGCCAGAAGTGTGTTGGAAACAGAATAGTAACTTGGGAAAACGTGACAGTTTAGTGGATATGGGAGGTCACAGAGGATGATTGCATCGGAGAACAATTCTCTCTCACCAATCCCAAGATCCCGAATCAGGCAGTTTACACCTCCTCATATCACTGATTCGAACCAACAGTCAAAAACTTAGTGGACTGATGGTAGGTTTTGATTTCATTGCCCACCGCTAACTCTTTTCTTACATAATCTGATGCCAGGTGACACGGCTCGCCTAGGAAGGTGATGCTTCAACCTATGCAACACGCGCCCTAGCCATTTTAATCGATACAGCTTCACAAATTCATCGGCTGACTTATCCACCATACTTGACAGTCTACTTCTATGCTCATTATATTGTACTACTTAACGGTAGAAAACAAGCAATAATGTTATTGGTTAAACAGCAGTGTTGCAAAACATCAAAACACGAGATAAAGCCTGTGTTCCACTCAGTCAACTTCATTTCCACTGAAAGAATTCACAATGTTTTGATTTGACACTAGTAACTAGTCCTCTCATTGGTGCAGACTGAATTCTATCAGTCAAGTTGTTATGTGGCCACCAATCTAGGTGGCTCACCATCACGGTGTAAATTGACTTGATGATATTAGATGGTTGGAGGCAATTGGCCACAGGAAGCCTTGCTTGACGTAGGTTTCGTACTAGTCGGCACTCGTCGGTCAGCAAGGCGTATCTGCAACCTCGAAGGAACTCATGTCCCCACTGAGATTTGAACCCGGGTCACCCATTGCTGAAGTCAGAGAGAGACGTTACCACTGAGCTATTCAGGCTCGCGATACACAAGTTACATGTTAAGAGTCAGCCAGAGGAAATTCATGTCAGGATGTATTGATTTGTTGTACACATCAGCATCCTTAATCTGAAAGTTTTGAAATACTCGTTATTTCACCCAGATTTCAATAAGTGTCATATGCGCACCAGACTCATTCAGGAATAAGGCATTTGCAATGACGACAAAAAACAGACATTATCTCTATTCTACATAAGAAAATTATTTCAAATTATCAAACCCTGTTGGTATTCCTTAACTGAAATTATCAGTTTCATTTCTGCATATGAGTCCCACTCAACTAACGCCTCAATATTACCATAATTTGTCATTTTTAGTCACTTTTCTCGTGATGACCTGCAAGCAGTGGAGTAGGCGATATACGCATACGACCTTATTTAGGACTTACAAGCTGGATGTGCAATAAAGCTACAAGCACCCACCCACCACCCAACCGATAGCTACTCTGTTGACGTGGTGGTCGGGATTGCATGTCAGAATGAGCCAAGAAGCTACATTAGCTGGAACTAACGTGTCTTGAAACGTCGTTTGGTGATTAGAGATTAGATTAAAAGCAGTTACCATCATAGTGTAAATCGTTTTCACAATGTTGGAGAGATCTCAGGGTGAAGTCATACTGCTGAAGAATAGAGATGTAACAGCAGTAAGATGACCAATAGCCACATATACCACATATCACCATTATTCTGGATAAAAGAGGGTTATATAAGTTCAATCCCGTCAATTGTACATTCCAACTTACCTTTCGGCGGTCCGTAGACCGCGGTAAGATATTAATACGGGGACAGCTCTAGCAACAACTTCAAACAAACCACAAAAAGTTATCCCCTGGGCCCTGAAGTTATGCAACATTAATGAGCCCTCTGTTTTTAGGTACTCCCATGGTGTGCGGATCGTGAGAAAGTAACAAACATCCACTTCCAGCACCTATCATTTAAAGAGGGAGTCAGCATTAAATAATTTTTTTAAACTGGAGAATCAAAAGTTATCCTAAAACACTTCAAGGATACACGCACTCCCACACGCACATGAACAAGATGTGAATATTCTGATGATGATGATAATAATAATAATAATATAAGTCAAACCAATGGTTGAAGCATACAAGCGAGTTTTTCAGAGAGAAAAATCAACAATAAGACAATTTTATTCTTTCATTAATCTTTTTTTTATTTCTACTCATTTGACAAGTAAAGTAAATATTAATCACATACATACATACATGTTGCAGACATGTATCAAGTGCAAGCGAAATAAAGAAATTGTTCAAAACACACCAAAAAGTAAGAGTAGTAGAAGACAAGAAGAGAAGATAGGAAAAAACCAAGACAATTTGTATTTCACTACCTGATATTTGAGCAAACGAAAATGGACAAAATAACTAGAAGAGGAACGCACGTGTGTTAGATTTCTCTCGTTTTCCTTTTTGATTCGTTGACAATTTAACACTAAAGCCATTCTCTATAGGATCATCTTGAAAGGGTGAGGGGCAAGGAGGGGGAGAGAGGCGCGGAAGGAGAGCAATCGCCTATAGCAAAATAAAATATGCAAGAAGCAGGGAAGTAGAAACTATCCTCCGGTGTTTTTCTTTCTCGGATAGCAGAGGTGAGTAGGTCTCACTTCCTTTCAGAGCATACAAAAAGCATTTAGTTAATCGAATACTTTCTACAAAGAAGATAACTAAAATATTCTTTAACAAAAAATGAGGGTTGGTAGGGAGAAGATACAAAAAGGTGGAAATAAAAAAAAGGTGAAATTGGTGCTGATTTGATTACAAAATAGTAATTAATTAATAATAGTCATAATCATAATAAACTTTTCAACTAGTACGTTTTTAAAATTAGGCAAAAAAAAAGAAGAGCATTCTAGCAAAATATGATATTCAAAAAAGAAAACAGAAAAACAAATGAATATTCCCACATATGTGTCATATGTGCCCTGTTGAAATAGAATTCAGAATTATATGAAAGGCTTTTCTAAATAAAAAAAAACAGCAATTCACAACGTAATGGCTTTCTATGCTGGCAGAGAGAAAGAGAGAAAGTACACTGTACACAAAGCTGTACATAGTGTGTGTGTGTAACTGATATCGAATCAAAAAACTAAATCTTGATAATATTTTATTTATTTATTGTATGTTAATATGTTTGGTTTTTGTGCTGCAATCGATGGTTTCCCATGTAGTGCTCTAGCTCGTTCCATAAAAGCATTCACCATAACACTGACAACTTGATCAAAAAATAGTGCAGCAATTTTTGAATAAAGTGGAGAACGAAATTCAAAATCCACCTGTAGAAAAAGAAAACAAAAACAGCATAAAAATGTTTACGCTTTTATTATTAACATAGAGAGAGAGACAGGCGATTTGTAATGAACAGAAATGCACGCCAGCCAGAAGGAATAACTTATGTGTGGAGAAACATGAAGACTTAATGGGTCTGGGAGATTACAAAGGGTGAATGCATCTGAAGTCATATTAAGAGCACGCTTTCCAGGCATATCATCATCAATAGTCTTAAGCCACTAGTTCATGGCATCCCGAGGAACCTAAGCTAAGCAGTCTGCACTTCATTATATGGCTCAAACCAACAGTTAAAGATTTCGTGAACTAATCCCAGGTTTTGCTTTGACCATCATTTCCCTTAACTCTTTTCCAACCTAATCCTATACGTCACCTAGCATTGCCCAACGAAGAAGGTGATGGATGCCTCGGTATGTGCAGTACGTGTCATATAGCCAACACTCAGTCGATTAGCTTCACAACTTAATTGGGTGACTTTCTCTCTTAACCTAACACTAGACATGCAACCTCAGTATTCTGTTTCTGTTTTCGACATAGAACTTTGCACAAATGTGCGGAAGTTCAAGTCGCCACATTCCGTGTAGCACGCGAAGCAAGAGAAGAAAGTACAAGAAAAGCATAATAGAAACAGTGAGCAGAGGTGTGAGACAAAGGAGAATAAAGAATAACAAAACAGTTTCATTGAAGATCATAAGTCACAGGGAGTGGATGCATCTGCGCCACTGAGAACGATTTTGAGCCATGTCATCAATTGTTTCCAACCATAGATTTTTACCGTCCCGAGGACCCCAGCCTGGAAGTCTACACCTTTCTACGTGGCTTAGACCAACTGTTGTGGATTTCATTGACTGATGCCAAGTTTTTGTTTGACCGCCGCTAGCTTTTTTCCAGCCTGACCCTATATCCGCTAACATTGCTCGTCGAGGGAGGCGATGGCTTGGCATACGTAACACATGTCCTAACCATCTCAGTCTTTGTAGCTTCACGACTTCGTCGATTGATTTCCCCTGTTTACCTAGAACTCTACGCCTAACCTCCATGTTGCTCACCTTATTATGCCAGTTTACACGGGAAATAGAACGCAGGCACCTATGATCAAAGACAGCTAGTCTTTTCATGTCTTCCACTCTCAGTGGCCAGGTCTCACAGTATTACTTACACTATTGTACTAGTTAATACGGAAGACAGAAAGCAAATATTTGTTGTTGCCAAAGACAGACACACTCTTTTCAGGCGTTCAACTTGTAATGGTCACATCTCTTACATAAAGCAAAAGACTTTGAAGTGGGGCTAAGAGCACAACAAAATCCTGGGCAAAAAAAGTAGACTATAAATAATTACCGCAAAAGTGAAACAAATGATCTCGCTGAAATTAATTTTAAATAATTTTACAATGAAATAATGATTCTTCGCAAAATAACCATAAATAATAAATAGAAAAGTTGTCAAACTTACAGAAAATTCAATATTACACGAAAGTGGATTATCTGGGAGTCCAGGTAGGAAACGCCATTCATTAATTAAATGATGAAACATTCGGACATTTTGGGCCACAGACTATTTTTTTGTTAAGTAGAAATATATAAAAAAGAAATTTATTATGTTGAAAACTACTACAGAAGATTATGAATAAAGCAGTTACACGTATATACGCATGATGTCTTCCTCGAAATTTGTTTGTTCTTAAATGATACCATTACTTTCCATAGTTTTGCTTTTACGAGTTGATCACGGATTGATATCAGTTAGAAAACCATTGAAAACCAGCAGGGAGTACTGGACAGCTGTTTTGTCAGCCTAGTTTGGGAATCACTGGTAGTACGCACCCACCACAGTGGGGTTCGAACCCAGGACCTTCCGGTTACAAGGCAAGCTGGCTCATATACCATTCAGCCAATGGGACCCGACTCCTCAATGACCAGCCCATGAATTCTAACTTCTACCAATTCGTGATTTAGTGTGACCCCAACTATTACTACTATATGACGATTTTATTCAACGGATACTCACACACACAAACACAATGTGAGAGGTAGTGAAACAACTCAATTGGAAACACATTACCAGATGGAGTATGCTTTCAACTCGACACCCTACCGGCCAGACCAGACCAAAAAACCATATCTCTACGTAGTGTCAATTAGATCTCACGATAAGCCATGTATATACATATAAGCTCGCCAGTGACTAGCTACAGGATGAAGTTTCCTGGAGTTCTAGTGAGAAGTCGTAACCAGTGAGGTCCATCCAGATGTCACGTGTGAAGATGGATATCCCACCAACGACATTGATTGGGGTCGCGCTGAATCACGAATTGGTAGAAGTTAGAATTCATGGGCTGGCCATTGAGGAGACGGGTCTTAGTGACTGAATGGTATATGAGCCAGCTTGTCTTGTAACCGGAAGGTCCTGGGTTCGAACCCCACTGTGGTGCGTGCGTACTACCAATGATTCCCAAACTAGGATGAAAAAGATGTCGAGTAGTCCCTGATTTCCAATGGCTCTCTAGTCGATATCAGTTTATGATCAACACGTAATATATATATATATATATATATATATATATATATATATATATATTACATACATAAAATACCATACAGGAGTGCATCAATACAGACATAGAAATAATAATACAATACACAAGCATGAATGTAAATAAACACAATGACTGAATGAGCATTTATTGAAAATGTTCAGAATTGAAGGTGATAAAGAATAAAGATATTTCGAGTCACTGTGAAGAATTTAGATCTACTCAGATTATTTGACCACAATGTCAAAGCCAGAAAACCTAGGATGCTAATGTTGTTTAAAATTATACAAATGGTTAATATTTTCATATATATATATATATATATATATATATATATATATATGACATCCTCAGAGTATTCCCTTCACCAGGTTCTGAATGGTTTACTAGCTGATAGTCATTTGTGAGGAGGTTCGCCTTCACATCATACTGTACGTATCTGACAATATGTATCTGAATCTGTCATATTACAAGTGATACTTCGATAATGAAGTTAATACTAACAATTTATAGCTGTGAGACCTGGCCATTAGCAGTAGAAGACATGAAAAGATTAGCTATCCTTGATCATAGGCACCTGCGCTCTATCTCCCGTGTGAAGTGGCATAATAAGGTGAGCAATATTGAGGGGAAATCTATCGACTACGCTGTGAAATTACATCGACTGAGATGGTTAGGACATGTGTTACGTATGCCTAGTCATCGCCTTCCTCGACGGGAAATGTTAGGTGGCTGACATAGGGTCAGGCTGGAAAACAGATAGCGGCGGTCAACACCAAAAACATGGAACCAGTCAATGAAATCTACAACAGTTAGTTTAAGTCAGTCACGTAGGAAGGTGTAGACTGGCTTCCTGGTTGGGGTCCTCGGGACGGTAAAAACTAATGGTTGAAAACGATTAGTGATATGGCTCAAAATCGTTCTCAATGGCTATCACAGATGCATCCACTCCTCGTGACTTATGATTTCCAATGAGTCTATATCTTTCTTCGTTATTATTACTCCTTTGTATCACACTTCTGTTTACTGTGTCTATTATGCACTTCTTCTTTCTTCTCTTGCTTTGTGCTACAAGGAGGGAGTGTGGCAGCTTGAAATGCTGCATATCGGTGCAAAGTTCTGTGTCGAAAACAGACAGACAGACTAATGATTTCATCAAGACTGGGAGAAAGATAGGAACTATCAAAATATCAAAATATTGATAACATAGAACGACGTCAATCTTAACACACAGCTACAATCTTTTTTGTTTTCGCTTTTTCAAAGACATACGACAACAAATAACCTAATGCATACAGAGTGAATATTACATATTATTTAGTATGAGAACTATTGAGTGAAAATGTGTGCTTTTATTTACCTTTAAATGTTTAGGTCGTTCAAAAGTTATTCGAGACATATATGATTCACTGAGTGGAGGGAATCCGACACCCAAACGAACTAACATGCTACTTTCACCTCGTTCAACAATACTTGAGTGATTACACCAAGGTACAAACTCTGAATAACGACCAACGTCGATGGCAATATCAAACATATTCTCTGGTGAATAACTAAAAGTTTAAAGGATAAACATTATAAGTAGTTACTGTCTACACTATAACAAAAGATATTACATTGCAATTATGTGAAATCAAGAATACGTATCACAGATATCTTAATAAAAATATAAGTTAACTGAACAAATCACGTGGAGAGAGAATGACAGTGAAATTGTAAGTTCTTTGTCAACCTCCAGCGCTTGTTAAACCGCCACACCTGTCTGTCTGTCTGTCTGTTTTCGACATAGAACTTTGCACAAATGTGCGGAAGTTCAAGTCGCCACATTCCGTGTAGCACGCGAAGCAAGAGAAGAAAGTACAAGAAAAGCATAATAGAAACAGTGAGCAGAGGTGTGAGACAAAGGAGTAATAAAGAAATACAAAACAGTTTCATTGAAGATCATAAGTCACAGGGAGTGGATGCATCTGCGCCACTGAGAACGGTTTTGAGCCATGTCACCAATTGTTTCCAACCATAGATTTTTACCGTCCCGAGGACCCCAGCCTGGAAGTCTACACCTTCCTACGTGGCTTAGACCAACTGTTGTGGATTTCATTGACTGATGCCAAGTTTTTGTTTGACCGCCGCTAGCTTTTTTCCAGCCTGACCCTATATCCGCTAACATTGCTCGTCGAGGGAGGCGATGGCTTGGCATACGTAACACATGTCCTAACCATCTCAGTCTTTGTAGCTTCACGACTTCGTCGATTGATTTCCCCTGTTTACCTAGAACTCTACGCCTAACCTCCATGTTGCTCACCTTATTATGCCACTTTACACGGGAAATAGAACGCAGGCACCTATGATCAAAGACAGCTAGTCTTTTCATGTCTTCCACTCTCAGTGGCCAGGTCTCACAACCATAAAGGAGGACGGAGCGGACTGATGAGCAGTACACCCGCCCTTTGGTCGATAGTCGAACATCTCGTCTACGCCAGAGTCGGCGTAAACTAACAAATGCGAAACGAGCCCCTTGTATTCGTGCTGAGATTTCGTCAGAGATCAACCCGCTGCTGGCTGATGGTACTTCCCAAATAAGTGAAGCGGTCAACGTGCTCTACCACTTCACTTCCTATTTTTAAACTAGGCGTCGATGTAGTCCAGTCCTGTAACATCATCTTGCATTTGGCGGGAGCGAATCGCATGCCAAACATTCGTAGATTGCGGCTCAAGGTGTTTAGAAGACTCTGCATTTCGTCAGCGTCTTCGCCTAGAAGGACTATATCGTCTGCATATTCCAAGTCAACGAGATTATTCCCTGGTAGCAAGTCAATCCCTGAGTCGCTGAAGTCACCTAGGGTTAAGTCCATTAACACATCTATGATGAAGTTGAATAGAAAAGGAGATAATGGGCATCCTTGACGGACACCACTGGTCGTCATCAGTTCAGATGACAGCTCGCCGTAAGCCCTCACCTGGCTGTATGAGTACGAGTAGAGTGCCTTAATCAGTGCAATATATTTTCTTGGAATTCCCTTTACAGCCAAGCATCTCCAGAGAACTTCCCGATCGACAGAGTCGAATGCTGCCTTTAGGTCAAGAAATATAATGACTGTTGGACGCCGGTAGGAATGCCTATGTTCTAGAATCTGTCGGAGGGTGAAGATATGATCAATACACCCTCTTCCTGGTCTAAAGCCTGCCTGGCTCTCTCGTGTTTGTGCTTCCCGAGCACCACTCAGTCTACGCATGATTATTGAGCCTAAGACTTTAGATACTATATTAGTCAAGCTAATCCCTCTGTGATTATCACAGGAAGACTTGTCTCCCTTCTTGTATATGGGGATAATCAGTGACTTACACCAACCCGATGGGACTTCTTCTGATTCCCAGACGCTGCCTAGTACCTCAGTTAATCCGGACAGTAAGCTGTCTCCACCGTACTTAAATACCTCTGGAGTCATTCCATCAGGTCCCGCTGCTTTGCCTAGTTTCAGATTGGTGACAGCTTTAGTAACCTCAGTTAGTGACGGAGGACCTGTGTTTATATCCCATTCAGGGAGGTGTTGGATGCTCGGAAGGTTGAGCGTGGCTGTGGGCAAATTAAACTGCTCCTCATAATGCTCTTTCCAACGATCCAGTCGTCTATCCTGGGAGCTAATTATAGTGCCATTTTTTCCGAGATTGTCTCACTGATGATTTGTCTTCTCCCACCCGTTTCCCTGATGAGTCCAAAGAGTTGCCTGGTGTTGCCTATCCTCGAAGCTTTCTCCATCTCTTTGGCTTTTGTCGCCCACCACTGTTCACGGTCCTTGCGGAGACTTTTCGTAAGTTTCCTCTTGTGCAGCTTTCGCTCCTCATTGAATTCGGAGCTCGCCGGAATAAGTCTTCTAGCATCTATCAGTTCGGATGAGGCGGTGGAGATCCAGTGGTTTTTACTCACCTTTGGGTTTACCTTATTCACAGCTTTTACAGCTGTATCTATGGCTGCCTGGATATTTTTCCAAGCTTCTTCAGGGTGAGCACAGCTGTCGAACACAGATATGTGTTTAGCTAGTTCTTCCTCAAATACGGATTTAGTTTCCTGATCGAGCTGGGGACGTGATGGGTTTACCACCAGCTGTTTCCTACGTCCGTTCAGTCGTAAGCCCACCCGGGCGCGGACCAGTGCATGGTCGGTATCTACACACGTGTTCCAGAAGGAGCGACAATCTCCTACCGACCCACGCCAACGATAGCTTATTGCTATGTGGTCTATTTGTGTCCAGCGTTGGTTTGATGATGGGGGTCGCCAGGTCAAACAGTGTCTCTCCTTGTGTTTGAAGTTAGTGCTTACAAGAAACAAATGATTATCTGAACAGAACTGTAGGAGGCGGTCTCTGTTGTCGGTTCGCTGGCACGGAGCTCCATAGGTGCCACCGACATCCTTCTCAGATTGACACAATTTCCCTACTTGAGCGTTAAAGTCACCAGCTAGAACGACTATGTCTGAGCGTTTAGCCTTTCCCACCAAACTAGACAGCTTTTGGTAGAACTCATCCTTCGTTTCATCTGAACTGCAGTCAGTGGGGGCGTAGGCGGAGATTACGAAAAGGCATCGGCGAGTAGTGCAGTCCTTCCTCCTTCTTACTGATCCGTTCAGGCGGACAGCACACATTCGGCTATCTACCGGGATCCAGTCAAGCAATGTCTTTTCTGCCCTAGTACTCAAAGCTATCCCTACGCCAGCTAATGACTAAATGTACAGTTCAGAGAACTCCGAACATAATAATGTACGATGCATTATAAATCCAATGTGGAAAAACAAAGATGAGATGAAGAACAAGCTAATGATGTTTCAACCTGCAGTGAATAGATTTCTTTCTCGTGTGCATATAAAAACTTCTGATGATATGTGACTGTGCGAGTTCTGAGAGGTGATGCACAGCTGATTTATAGACAAAATGCGGAATTGCTAAGAATTGAAGAAGGGCAACAGTAGACGAAATTCATTGTTACAGCTACTGTACATATCCAACAGTGAAAATAAGATATCAACACTGATAAGGATTAATAAATATGATAACAGGCATCATGGTGTCTGTAAAGTTGCGAGTGAGACAGACCAACTGACTGTTAAAATGCATATAAATTTGGAAAATGAGGTTTAAACAAGTGTGCAAACATATACTATAAGTATACTGAGAACGAGGTTTTCTTAATACAAAACACTGTCCAAGTTGCGAACAACAATTTATCACATATAAGTATCAGTAGTTTACAATTTAGTACATCTGTGTAGAAGGTTCATAAATTCCCCTAATCACCGTATTTATTTCATGAAACTGAAGCTCCAATTCACCGTATGGGATAACAATCTACATAATAAACAGTCACATGAAGTTGTACAATTCTAATAGGTCTGTTACTGAGCGCTTAATTTCTTTGTTATATACTTACAGTAGAATACAATCCTAGAGAAGCTTAGAACTAAATCCAGTTTATTTAGAAGCAGAAAAGCACTTGATTTGATACCCAAAAGCGGTTAGAAAGAGTTAGTGAGTCATAACTCTTTTAGAAAATTCACAATGAGTCTACTGTGATAGCATATCTCATTCTGTTAACCGTTAGAATTGCTATTTCATTTCATTTATTATTAACACGGTTAGAATCGTCTTTTTTCAATATCACTACAAATGTTTCGACTTGTTTCATTATTACTGCTATTATTACTATTGTAACAAGACAAGAGCCAGGTAACAGATCGTTTATTAAGGAAATCAACACATATTTATAGATTTTCATGTACATATTATAGATTATTGTTAGCAGGAAAACACATTCCTTTGATTGGTTGTTCCTCACAGAAAGTTAACCTTGCATCTCTTTGTGACTGTTTCTTGAATGTCAGACCATCTATATGTTAACTGTATCCGCCTACGCAAAGCCTTTGTTCTTATTTTTCTCACGACCAATATTGGGGACATAAACACTGACGTAAATTACTGTCCACCAATTTTGACTAACAGCCAGCTCTCGCCACACCATTATTATTATTTACTGTACAAGTCTTAATATTACCAAATTCCTTCTTCAACAACATTGTTTACTATCATAATGGCGTGACTGAACGGTAATCCAGTGCACTTTTAGGTATAAAGCTCTGGTACGTTTCCATCCACACCACGTATCTGAACTTTACTTGTACGTTTTAATCACCCTTTGTTTTGTTATGATTGACTAATGGTACCGTATTTATTGATTAAACTTTCCTTACATATATCGCAACATACACGTCATGATGCCACCACTTCTAAATTTTGCAATACTTTGAGTTGAATAGGGAAGCTGAAATTGGACACAGATGAGCTGATCAAGAATATGGCTTAACTAAGCCAACAACATTATACGTCAGCTACCTGATTTCCCTGCCTGTTCTACCTAAGCGAGAACACCGAACGACGTGAGACGATTGTTTATCAGTACCAGCAACAATATATATATATATATATATATATATATATATATGTGAATTGATAACTTGGAGAGAAGAGTTCCCAAATGCTACAAATTTCCCCGTCCCAGTCATGTAACATGTTAGATCGTACCTTGCCTGTATGTAATAACAAGGATAAAAACTATGTTCATAGAACTCGACTAATTAGTCACTGACAACTAAACAAAAGTACCACAATTGTTACATCACTGAGCTTAGTGAGTACAAATGAATCGACTGTTCCCTTGAAATCCATGTCCAGCCATTTACACTAGATTTCGAAGTGCATGTTCGCTTGTTACGAACTACTTTGTTATTTATACAGAATAACTTCGTGCATTCTACTAAATAGCACACATTTTGTTTCTTAGTGTGCTAACGAAACAAGGGACTGCGTCATCTAGTTACAGGTCCACAGAACACTTCTGAAACAAAAAACAGTGTAGTGCACAAATGTTGCATTTTCCATGTATCCGCACAAGTAGTACTTAAAATAAATAACCCTGTATTCTGGGACTGAAAGCAAGTAAACTTTGGGATAGTATTGCTGTATTAAAAATGTCAGCATGAACAAATTAAACGGAAAACAATCGCTCAATATATATTACCAAGAACCTTGAAAACAAAACAAGGGAACTAACCCTATGAGTCTCCTCTCCTTGTAAGACTGTGGTTTATGTGTAAAAGAAGGACCAAAATGGTAGATTTCCCGCTTACATACTGCTGGAAGATTTTGTGACAGCAAACCAGAGTATTTTGGATACGTATTTAATAATTTTAAAGAAGACATGACTTTTACAAAGTCATCACTTCTAATAATAGTAGGAACTGAAAAATAAAAAACATCAACACTGATTAACTGTCGTAACTGAACACATCAAGACTGTAGTCTTGCTTTATGTCTTAAAAATGTTGCTAAGTGATTTCAAATCGTCTTGGAAGGTAACACCGAGTAAACAGAGTTCCCTAAACTCCACTGAATCTTGACGCTATTATTTTCTTTCCGTATGCGCTTAGAATATTGCAGACTGAGTAATGTAGTCTTCAGTGGCAGATACTCTATTAGCATAAAGTTTTCGGTTACTCCATTTGAAGTCGAATTACAAACATTACAGATGGAACAAAAAATAGGGAACTAATGACTGATTTGAAACCTCTAACTTTCAATAAACTCTCTCTTTCTGCTAAGGCCACATCACTCCAAGACGATACACGCCACTTATTTGACATTTATTGAGTGATGTATTCACTATTTATAAACCGTCAGACAAACACAGTTGAACTACCATAGCCAAAAGCATGACCACTTTGACCAGCCAATCAGATTTCAGGTGACTGTAGATCATGGTACTTTGAGACCCACTGACACTATTCTTTAACCTACTTCTAACTTTAATCATAATTTCAACTTCAACCCTAAACCTAACCTTAACTACAGACCCTAAACTTTAATCTTGAAAGCCATAACCCTACCTAATACTACAGATTTGCAGAAAAAGTACCTGGTAAATTAGCAACGCACTGTATCTATTCCCTCCAAGTCCAGAAAGGCAGGCATGATTTGATTTTAAATGACATTTCATAGCATTCCCTCCGTATGACCGGTTCTTGAGGGTCAACTTCTGAAAGACCTAGACTTTAGCTATGATACTTCAACTTTTTTTTTATTACAGCTTGATTCCACACCGTATTTTTGGTACAAGTATGGAATTTTCAGCACGGATATCGGTAGCCCAAATTTCGCAGGCCGACCATAGATATCAGGTGTGCGTCGGAGTGGGCTCGAACCCCGGACCATATGCATGGTCGGCGAGAGTCCTAACCACTGTGCCACTGACGCACAACTTCGCCGTCAGATCGATGGTACATGATGAAATGCACGCAGACACCTAACACAAACACACAAATTCTTTCAGGAGCATCTCCTGTGTATATCACACTTATCCCAACCAACAGTCAACGGAAAGCTGCTCAGAAATAGATTTTAAAAAACCTACACAAACTCCCAGTTTTTACTCCTTATAAATCAGGCGCTTACAGCACCATATCTTGTGTTACCCGCCCAACTAATATCCAACACCCTTTTACATCCTTGTGTAAATCAAATTCATTTCCTTGTGCTCGCCTTTCATTTGTAAGGCCAATGTTCCTAAGTTCCGGAAAAATTATGCGTATTTGGTTAAGCAGCTTGACTGCCCTAGCTTTGGTTGAATCCAGGTTGAGTTGTGAGACGACTGGTTATACGAGACTTGTAGTGTGCAGTGTCTTAAGACCGTGCCTCTTCTATAAATTTAATTTACGCATTCAACCTTCGATTGTCCGATGTGGTCAAAAAGAGGGTAATAATGAATAATATCTATAATTAGTGTAGATTATGTGGAAAAACTTGCAGAGGCAATCAGTTTTCTAATTAAAAAAGAATAAGTGAATAAAAATGTCTAAAATAAGAATGAAATGAATGAATAGGCGGGTTAGTCAGAAAATTGAGACAAGTGGAAATGGGCAGTGGTAATGAAAGAGTTCAGATGTATCCCCTCTACTAGTGTGGTGTATGTTTTAAAAGGGACAGTCCATTTGGATGCTGTCTTTTTGTAGTTGCATGACTATCCAGCCTCCGCTTATAGGCTTACATGACTAAAGTACTAGGCACAGCGGGTAGGTGCAGCAAACTCAACGAGAAAGGAGATAGAAGTGCATTTGAGGCATCCGCTCTCTAATACACTATCCTTCATGGAACACAACAATGAAGTCCATACGCACTTATTTGCAGGATGACAGTGTTTGGATGATTTCCGTCACTTGTAACCTTATAGACAGTAATTAAGTCACCCCATAGCCGGCGGTAGCTAAGTGCCATTTGTCCGTCGTCTTTGGACCCTCTCTAAATTACTGGCGCCCCTTCTAGGTAGAAGGAGAGCAGTGATATTGCTCACTTCAAGGTGCAGTCCTACGTGTGTTTTTGCAACCTTAGAAAATTCGCAGGAGTGAGTGCACCCAAGTTTCTGTGTGTAAAATTCATAACAGCATATGTCCCAGCTACTTCACTCATTCAAGTCATTGTTGCATCCATCTTTTCCGTCAGAAAGTTGCCTAAGTTGCGCCGTGACGAAATAAAGGGAGGAATTATCCCTACGCATGTAGTTACCTAAACTCTAAGGCCTAAAGGTACGCACTTGCTCTGTTCTGCATCGTTTGATTCTCAGTTCATTCCATGGACCAGTATCCGGTCTTCCAGAATTTTCATTTCTGCCTGAGTCTTCTTGACAATTTGCCGACCCCGAATCTCTACGTCATCAGCGTAAAGAAGAACAGCACATTTTAGACAACATGTAAGGCAACTTATAAAAATCAAAAATACTTAGGGCCCTAGGATAGGACTCTGTGAAACTCCCAGGAGTTTCTTACTAAGATTCGTCCAAAATAGCACCTTTCCGCTCCAGGCCCCTGAGTGGCATAGATTGCCAAGTTCCGAGTATGCCTCACGGTCAGCCTGACTCTTGTAGAGTCACTGAGCTAGCCAGGTTTCTTGCTTTGCTTATAGAATATGCTGAGAGACTCTTTTCTTCCATGAGTGTTTCTCCCTAGATTTTGGTGTGATCAGAGGGAAGGTAACTGAGATTGCTTTGTGAATGATCCCTTCTACCATTTCTCAGTGTTCCTCTGCTAATGACTGAGCCCGGTCTGCGGACCATTGTGCACCAGGTAAAGCTGTATTCTTAGAGGTACTTCAGAAGAAAACTTTGCGACGGAATTTCCCTGTTGATGACAATTATTCACCAATGCACTGATATTAGTCCAGGGCGTCTTCTGAATTGAGGGTAGTTCGATTTTTAACCACAGTCTTTTGGCGGTATCAGATGACGTAACTGTCTGTAGTCGTACTGAATGATAGTCCGCCAAAATACCGATGAATTTCTCCCGGGCAGATGCTTGAGAATGAGAAGCAGAATTATTGCTAAGAGATTTACTCGTTGGTTGGAAAGGGCATCTGCAGCCACCTACCGAGGACGGCTGTTGCAAGCGCTGTTATGCTGGTTGCTGGTAAAAATCGTCCGTGTCCAACGCTATTGCACTCTCGATCTCAATGTTGTTAATACCGACAAGATCTGACGAAATACTGGGCAGCGGAATGTCGGAAGAATGATGGAGGTTTCTTCTCCATGGGAGGCGATCTCATCCAGGAAGGAAAGTGTCACTTAAACAATGCTATGCACCCACGAACAAGGCAGACCTCGAAAAGAAAGAAGAATTCTACAGACAACTACAGGCAACAAAGGATAATACTCCAGCTGGCGACATGAAAATACTTATGGGAGACATGAACGCCAAACTGGGACCAGACAATGCAGGAAGGGAACTCATCATGGGTAGAGAAGCTCTTGGAGAAATGAATGAAAACGGAGAACTCTTCACCGACTTCTGCGCCTTCAAAGAGTTAGTGATTGGTGGCAGCGTATACAAACACAAAGATATCCACAAGGATGCATGTGTGTCACCAGATGGGGAAACCAAAAACCAAACTGATTTCATCTCAATCTCAAGGCAGTGGAGGCGCAGCCTACTGGACACAAAAGTAAGAAGAGGAGCAGACACTGGCTCAGACTACTCGTCAGTGTCGTTGAAGATTGAACGATCAATTCATGGTTGTTTGCTCAAACCCAACTACTCCATATTTTTCGCGGGAGACACCGACATCGCGGTCATCGTTCCATCGTTCGCTGTTCGTTGGAACATGGAGAAAAACTGCCAGAAATAGAATTGTGATTTATTGTTATAACATTTATTCTTAGGCTTTGCGTACAATGACCTTATTGTTGGTTACATATTGGCGTAATAATAAAGGATTCTCGAGTCGCTAGTGTCCGTTCTGGTTAACCACGTTGGTTATTAAACATTGTTTCTGAAAGACTTCCAGGGACAGTGTGAGGGCCTGCGTAGTAAGAGCTGGACATTGACAGTTTATGAGAGTTGGCTGATAGTTTCTGATAGTCTTTGATAGTTAGAGTTCGTCTTTCATGGTGCCGGCCAAGCCTTCTTTGGACAAGAGTTATCTGGAACTTTTGGAGTATCATGAGGTGCTTCTATGGTCACGTTGCTTTCTGCAAAAGTCAATCTTGCAAGTGGCGATTGTGTTGCAAGATCTCAAGAGAATTCCGTCAATGTAGTTGAAGATTGAACGATCAGCTCATGGTTGTTTGCTCAAACCCAACTTCCCCATAATTTTCGCGGGTCATCAATCCGCTAGTCATCGTCTCATCGGTCGCTGTTCAGAAAGAAGATAGAGGAAAACTGTCAGAAGTAGTATCATGATTTATTGTTGTGATATTTGTTCTTAGACCTTAGTCTGTAATGCCAATAATGCTGGTTATATGTTGGTGTTAGAATGAAGAATTCTCGCGTCGCCAATCTGTGTTCTGATTTTTGCCTCCGTTAATACTAGGCGTTTCTTAAAATCTCCGAGGGACAGCGTGAGGCCCAGTGTAGCAAGAGCTGGGCATTAACGGTTTATGAGACGTGATTGACAGTTTCTAACAGTTTGGATAGTCTCCGTCCGTCTTTCCTGGTGCCGACCAAGTCTTCTTTGAACAAGCGTTATCTGGAACTTTTCCGGAATTCGGTCAAGTTCAGTGGTGCCTGGGTCAAAGAAGGGACAGAGCGTCTTGGAAGCAAACAGGAAATTAAGTCATATTGACCTTTCTGTTACATGTAACGATGTGTTTGATGTTAAGCATGACATGGTTGATGTTAATGTTTCGCCGTCTAGGAATAATAGGAATATCAAACTTCCTA